GAACACCTGCCCCCTGGTGGTCAGTGCGCATCATGGTCATTCTGCTGTTCAGTCGATTTGCATATTAGCCTTTTATTATATAGGATATGATACCTCAGGATAATCAGCTCAGAATATTGAGGTTCTTAATAGATGCTTTTGGCCAGAATTATCCTAATTATCACATTAACAGAATTATTTAGGTAAGGCCCAGATCTCCACCTAGTTTCCTGCTGTACAGCTCCAACTCCACAGGCAGGGAAAGGCCTTCAAGAAGATGCTGTATTTTTACAGACAACTCCAAGGAAACTCCTGCAAACCCCACCTTCTCCTTCAGCCTGTAGGGGTTCATCTGTGAATTCCTTTCAGCACCACCTTTTTCTCTTCCTCGGGTAATACAACCAGCTGTCAGATCAGTAATTTCTTTTCCCTTCCCAGTGTTCAATAATCCCTCTTTGATTAACGTGGTACACTGCACGATCGATCACTCCGTTTGATATACATAAAAAGTGGTAGTATGCAAACTTGCATTAGAAGTAATTATATCACTAATTCCTATAAGCTAACTGGAAGCACAGCTTGCTTGTTTTCACTCAGAACTCCGTGGCAACGTCTGCCGTTACTTCTGTAGAGCTCCTGTGGTCCCAGAGCATGGGGACAGGTCGTTGTAGTTCTCCCAAATGCTGGGGCACAAATTAAATGTTTGCAGAATCATTAGAGCTTAGCCAAGAAAAAGAAAAAAATGTTTCCATTCTTTGAAGTGGGAAGTGGAGTGGGGTGAGGTGGGGAGGGAGAACAATCATAAGCATCCAGCTCCTGAACACTAGTGAACACCAAACCAGTGGTTCAGCACCAATGCAGGCACAGTTTCCACGGTAAGTATCACTTAGCACTATTTCATGTTGAATACAGTCCTTATAGAGAACCTTAATTCTAATCCTTTTTTCTCAGCTAAAGAGATCTTAATCTTTAATTCCTACTTTTAAATAGAGAGTTCTCCCGACTTCAGCCTTGTTTTAAATATTCATCCTTCTAAGTTTAGATTTCCCTTGCAATTCAATGCCCAGCATTCTACTTCCTCCTTCCTCTCAAATTATCCCTTTAACTTTTTTTCTCTTATTTTTACCGGCCCCCAAAGCCTCTTCCTCAGGATAATGTGCTATTCAAAAGCCTTCTCAACTACCCCTGTATCAAAGTTTAACTACAGAGGCCAACAATGCCATTTTTCCTGTTTGTGTTTTAGGGAAGACATAGTTTAACTAAAATTTCACCATCTTAAAATCCCTTCACTACATCTTTCCTCTCCACTCCCTCCTACACTTGATTGCTTTATACACATTCACAATGTAATCAAACTCCCAAAATGTGTAATTATATCATCATACCAAGACTTCCCAAAATATATATAATTTTAAGTATGTAACACACACCCTTTATAACTCTGGTGCTGGGAGTACAGGCTGAAAAATTTTGGCGTTTTTCTTATAAATTGTGTGTATTGTTTCTTGTTGGCATAGAGGAGAGGGGAATAAGAAGATCATCATACTAGGACCAAATGCTGTATCAGAAAACATAATTTTTGTTCCAGTAGGATTCTACTGAAGGTTGTAAACACACTTAAAACTTTTTTCTTCTTTTTAAAAATATATTTTTCTGATTTTTTACAGAGAGGAAGGGAGAAGGATAGAGTTAGAAATATCAATGAGAGAGAAACACCAATCAACTGTCTGATGTACACCCCCTACTGGAGATGTGCCCACAACCAAGGTACATGCCCTTGTCTGGAATCAAACCTGGGACCCTTCAGTCGGCAGGCAGACGTTCTATCCCCTGAGCCAAACCAGCCTGGGCAAAACTTTTTTTTCTTTTCTTTAAAAGAAGAGAGCTGAAATTGGCATAACTGAAAGCCAAACCTATGCTTTGCCCATCAGGATACACAATACTGAATTCCTTGTTTCCCCACTTACGAAATAGGCTTCCTCTACCAAACCAGAGCATTTATGAGGTTTGTATTAGTGAGTAATTGGAAAAACCCATCTCTGCCTAAACGCAGAAAACTTTCTGTTCTCTGGAATGCCTAAGACAATCTTAAAATGACTGCGGAACAGGCCCGTGACGTCTAGGTCTGAACCCAGAAAACCACCGAAAGGACACTTTGTGCATGCCATCTGGGATCCAGGCAGCCTCATCAGCAGAGGGGGGAACTTGTTGAGATCATCCAAACCTAAAACTCACATACATTTTTACATCTGGACTGAATTAATCTTTTCTTGGTACTGGCTTTCATGTAATAAAATAATTGTTTGCAGGTTTCAGATTTTTTTTTTTTTTTTTTGTAAACCCGTGGCCTTAGGAATCAAAACGTGCAACATCCAAGCTGAACACTACAAAGAATGCCTTTATCAAAAAAGTTCGTTGTGCGAAGGGACTCATTTACACTAACCTCTGAACTTGACAGCTCAGTCAAAAACAATTCCGTTTGAAACTTTCGTTTCAAGCATCCGCCACAAAGAAGGCTACACGGCCTCTATGTCATTGGCTCTGAAAGCCAAAACCTTTACAAGTGAAGTTAAAAGTGGAAACAAAGTACAGAAACCAGCAAAGCTCTACAACCGTGCCCCTTCCCCCCACATTCAGCTAGCCTAGTTGAATGAGTGTTTAAAGATCTTGTAGCTAAAAATGATTACCTAACAGACATGTTGCTTTCAAACGCAGTCTTACCCTGGCCTGTTGTATGGTTTTCCTACGGAGCTAGGAGCATCTTCAATCTCCCCATTGAAATTATGTATGTGAAACTGGCAGGTTACCTCTGTTGACCTCCTAAAAGGAGGGGGTGCAAATAGAGAAAGAGTTCTTGTTCCTTAAAATGTTTTGAGCGCTGCAAGAGCTTCTGCTCACTGGCCAACTGTGGTCCATAAGAGTCAGATCGCAGGCATTCTTATAAGCAATTCAAAGGTGAGAGGGGGAGAGGGCGCAGGGGACAGAAGGGGAAATTAGTTCATATTACAGTCAGTCTGCTTTCTGGAGAAGATACCCTGCAGATAACTTGATAGGAGATATCCCCTGGAGGACCCTTTTCATCCAATAACTCCAAAGGCCCGTTTTAATATGAAATATAAATCCAGTATGTTTACAAGTACACTAAAATGTCAGCTGTCTCACACTGTGGAGTATTTCCACTTTTAACATAACACAGTTATGTTATTTCCCAAAACCACATCCTAGGAAAAGGATTCCGTTCTAGAGGTTTTATACTGCAAGGAACAACAGCACAGGCAGCATCTGTTTCCCTGCCTCTGGCTTCTCCCCTCCCCCACTCTCCATCCTGCAGGCTGTTTGTAGGTCTCCGCGGTTGTTAAAACGACTCTCTACAGTGGTCTCAAAATGCTGTGGATCCTGAAAAACTTCTTATCCTTGCTCCTTGCGGAGCCTAAATGTAGGCGCTGCTCAAAAGGAGAAAAATCCCAAAGTCAAAAAAGAAAGAAAGAAAAGTGTTTCTAATGACAGATGCATTACGGAAAATTTTCCCCCCACAAAGTTTTGATGCTGTGAAATATCAACTCCCTGAAATCACAGAAAGGAAATGACTTACATTCTTGGAAAATGAAGCCACTAGCAGCTTTCTCCAGCAGTATTTTCTAATCCGTAAACTACACCCTGTGGCGAAGGGGAGTATTTCCTGCAAAAAAAACTAAATTTAAAGAGATGCTTACAAAACCTGTAAACAAAAAACGGCGGGTTCCAGAGAAGAGACTGAATCATACGTGGAAGACCCGCCAAGAGATACTTTTTCTGAACATTTAAAAACAAAACAAAACAAAACAAAACAAAACTGGAGAGAGAGCAAGGGCTGGAAGTCAAAGGCAACCCGAGAACATTGCTGAAGTTTCCTCCCCACCCCCCACCCCCTGGTGTGGGCCACGCACAGCCCCCCGAAGGAAATGACTGGCAAACAGATTTGTGCTAGAAAGTAAAAAACAAAAACAAAAACACCGAAAAGGGTGTCCAGAAGCTATTATTTCCCTGTACAAACAACTGCATGGCCTGAAAACCTGCCAGCTCTCACTCAAACTTTAAAATATGCTTATTTTGACAGCTTTCCATTTATTCGTGCCTTGAAGAAAACGCCCTCACCATTGGATTCAGCCGTCCCGGGACTCACGGTGCTGCCTCAGTCCCTGTGGACCGCACACCGGTGGCCCCCACGGTCCATCCCCGACAGCCCCCGGCCATCCTGGGGGAGAGGCTGGGGGTCCCCTCCGCCTCCCGGGGCCGGGCCTGCGCGCCGCCACAAGCTCCTCCGGGAACCCACAACCTGCAGGCTGAGCCCCGCTCTCGCATCCCACCGAGGCCCCCTTCTGGCGCAGCCAGGCTCCAACACAAGCTCCCGCTCCCTCCCCGGACTGGGCACTCTCAGGGGCCGCGGGACAGATGCTGCGCGCGGGTCCCTCCCCGCAGCCCGGCAGCCCGGCCGGCCCCGCGGCGCGCACAACAGGCGGCGGGCACCGCACCCGGGAACGCAGGGCTCGGGGGCTGGCCCCGGCGCCCAGTCCCAGAGACGGGGCGCGACGGACAGGCGCCCCCAGAACAGGGCGCCGGGGTGCGCCGGGGTGCACCGGGGTGCGCCAGGGAGCCAGCCGAGCTCGACGCACGGAGCCCAGGGCGCAGCCAGCAGCCCGGCCGGCCTCCCTCCCGCTCCCGCCGCCCGGGCAGCCCCCGGAGCCCCGCGTCTCCCTCGCTGCCCGGGGCCCCGACCTCCCGCTCCGGCGGGGGCGCTCTCTGACCCGCAGATGGCGACCTACCAGCCCGGTGCCCGGCGCCTAGGGCCGGGGGAGCCCGGAGGAGGAGAAGAAAGACGCGGAGAAGGGGACTCGGCTTTCGCAAGAGCTCGAGACTTTCTGAAAGCCTCCCGAAGCCCGTCCCGCCGCCGCCCGGCCGGCAGGGGGCACCGCGGGCGCCGGGGCGCAGGGGCCGGGGAGGGGGCAGCGGGGAGGCCCGGGGCTCCGGGCTCCGGCTCGTACCTGGAAGAAAAGTCTGGAGCAGCGGGTGTTGGACTCACAACAGCGATCGGTCCCCCTTCCTGCCAGCGCCGCGCTCACCCCGATCTCCCAGCCCCTGGGCCCGGGCAGGCAGGGGAGCGCGGGGTGCCGGCCCGCCCCCCGCCCACGCCTCCGCCCTGCCCCCCGAGGCCCCGCCCCGCCGCCCCGAGCTGGGCGGGGAGGCCGCGGCGCCGGGGAGGGAGCGGAGCGGGGAGATCGCCGCCGCACGTGCAGCGCCCGCCCACCCCGCCCCGGACCCAACCAAGCGCCCCGCGGAGGGGTGCCGCGGGCCGGGGGCGGGAGGAGGCGGGGGGAGCCGCTCCTCCGGGGTCCCGGGGATGGGGTGGGGGGAGCTGCTGGAGGTGTGCGGACCCGGCGATCTAGGCCTCTCCTCGCGCGCGGAGGGTGCGGGCGCGAGGGGACCCGTGCGCGCCCCTCCTCCCGGCCCGGCGGCGCCCTCGGGCTCCGGGGCCCGGCTCCCCGGGACGCTCCCTTCCCAGCGCGGCCCGGCCGGCCGGGGCGGCTGTTTGGCCTCAGTATCCTCTTCCTAATTCGGAATGAACGATGGAAGGCAGGCCACTCGCAGGGGAGGCGTTTCCAGCGAAGGAGGAGGCTTCGTGACTCCTGGCTTCCTGGCTGCCCCCCCGTCCCGGTCCCGCACCCACCTGCCCACCCATTCATTACTCGGGACGCCGCGCCTTGGAGAGTTTTTTTTTTTTTATTCTCGACGGGGCGCTGCTACCGCGGAAGCCGAGCCCCCAGCTGGTCAGCTCAGCCTCTCAGGTTCCTCAGGTGGACCACAGCCCATGTCTGCTGTGTTTTCTGTGCCTGGGACCGCTCTGAATTATACAGATGGTGTCCGGAGAGAGACGGATGACGCAAAGGGCCGGTGGAAGATGTTTTTATGGTGCTGAAATCCAGGATTTTTTTTTTTCTTCCATCTGTTGGGTCCTGGGAAAGTGGAGAGCTAAGCCTCTCCTGTGAGCCTGTGCCCACTGGGACCTACAGCTAGGGACCTGGGGGCCGTGGGACAGAGACCCAGCCTGTGGCCTGGCTCCCAGGCCCGCCACAGAGGCTCCTGGGCTGGCTGTGGAGCGGGGGTCAGTGATGCCGCACAGGGCCCCTCACCAAAGGAGGGAAAGAGGGTATGTGCAGGGTACATACTGGAAGGGAGACAAGGAGACGGAGGAGGACCTGAGAAAGGACACTACCTACAATCAGATTTATGGCGATAGAAGCTAACTTTAAAACTGCCCTGCTCTTTTGGTCAAAACAAATAGGTAAAATTAGCCTTTCTTGGTTTAAAGCTGTGATTTTTTTTTTCCCCAACCATTTTCATCTCATGGCACACATAAATGAAATACTAAAATAATGCGGCACACTAAAAAATATATTTTTTGCCGATCTAACAAACAAACAAAAAAGGTATAATTTTGATGCACTCACACCAGACGGCTATTGTTGTGTTGGCTGTTGTCATTTTGAGGAAAAAAGAGGCCGATGCCCCTGACTAAATAGTCAGGCATTGCATGGTTTAACAAACTCTTGCAGCACACTGGTTGAACATCACTGGTTTAAAGTACGCCAGTTTGTGTACCTTGTTTTCTTGGCAAAGAAATTCAGTTTTGTGTTCATTACTACAGAGGCTCCCTTGGAATAGTCTCATTCACAGCATATACATTTTAGGAACCATGACATTAGAACTGAGTTTTAGAAACAGTGATCTTTCCTTTTCACAATTGGTATTACGTTTGGAGCTTCTTTCTTTTTTAAAAAATATTTTTATTGATTTTTTTTATATAGAGAAAGGGAGAGGGATAGAAAGACAGAAACATCAATAAGAGAGAAACAATGATCAGCTGCCTCCTGCACACCCCCCCTGGGGATGTGCCCACAACCAATGTACATGCCCTTGGCCAGAATCGAACCTGGGACCTTTCAGTCCTGGGACCTTTCAGTCTGCAGGCCGACGCTCTATCCACTGAGCCAAACCGGTTTTGGCTGGAGCTTATTTCTGATAAAGTAGAGTTGTTTCTAAGGATATTGCACCTATGAATTGGAGTCATGACTTCATTATGGAAAGGACAAGAACTATGTTCCAATTTCTGCTTTTTAAATTAGTTGTAGTTAATTAAAATCCTAAATTAAACATTGGTTAATAGTAGCTGATTACCATATAGGCATTTAAAAGTGGAGGATTGAACTTTTTTCCCTCTCATTTTTAAAAAAATTTAGCGAATAAAAAACAACATATTGTTAGTTTGGGAAACATTGCTGCAATATAAAATAAATTAGGCAATCCAAGGAGCAAAATATTTTTAAACAGCTTTTTAAAAACATGATTGGGCTTATTGTCTATAATTAGATTGTGGCAAAATTTTACTATGTGAATATTTTTATCATAGTCATCATATTACCGAGATGAGGAAGCAGAGGATCTAAGTATTAACATTGTAGTACAGTGTGAATACTACAATGAACATAGATTGTTACATAATACTTAGGAAACTAAGTACTTTAAAACTCTTACAATTGGTTGTATAAACCCCTGAAACATCATAAAATTCTGAAAGGATTGCTTTGGAAAACAACACATACTATCACTTTCCCAGGTCCTCCCCCAGGAGTGGGGCCAGGATTTGGTAAGTGGTGCTGGACAAAAGCTTTTATTGCATTGTTGTCCTGGGAGTGTGCCCATGGCAGCTGTCACTCAATGACACAGAGGGGAGGGGGGGGGGGCTGAGAGAAGAAGAAGAAAATGAAAGAAAACATAATTCCATTTAAGATGGAAGCGGAACTGAGAAAGAATGGGTTGTTTCATTTTATTTTGTTGTTGTTGTTAATCCTCACCTGAGACACTTTCCCCATTGATTTTTAGAGAATAGAAAAGTGGGAGAAAGAGAGAGAGATAGGTGAGAGACTTATGGATTGATTGCCTCTCATAGTCTCACCCTTGACTGGGAATTGAACCAGAGACCTTCAGGTCCTGGAGCCAACACCCTAACTACTGAGACATACCAGCCAGGGCAAGAATGGATTGTTTTATTTTTATTTTTTAAAATATGTTTTTATTGATTTTTTTTTTTTTTTTTTTTTTTTAGAGAGAGAGGAAGGGAGAGATACAAGGGAAAGATAGAACCATCAATGAGAGAGAAATATTGATGGGCTGCCTCCTATATGCCCCCTAATAGAGATTGAACCTACAACCGCGGGCATGTGCCCTGACTGGAAGTGGAACCAGTGACCTCTTGGTGCACGGTTCGATGCTCCACTACTGAACCACACTGGCAAGGCAAGAATGGGTTGTTTTAGATATTTATCAAAGGAAATGTCTTTCTGTGTTTAAAAGATGTAATTCTGTAAAAAAAATATATATATATATATATATATATATATATATATTTCATGATTTTTTTGACATTGAGATAGTTTTATTTTCATTGGTATGGGATATTTTCCTAAATATGAAACAATGCCCATCAGTGAAACATCATTCTAAACGCATCTTAAACTATTACTTTTTCGATGGCATATAAATATCTATATAATAAAAGCCTAAGTGACCTTTAAGGGGGAACGACCAGAATGACCTGGTCCCTATGATGCTCACTGACCCAGGGGGCAGACGCTCAATGCAGGAGCTGCCCCCTAGTGGTCAGTGGTCAGTGTGCTCCCATAAGGGGAACGCTATTCAGCCAGAAGGCCGGCTCACAATTGGCTAGCACAGCGGCAGTGGTGGGAACCTCTCCTGCCTCTGTGGCAGCACTAAGGAGCAGCAAGCCGAGCTATTATAGAAGAAGCTAGCAGGTGGGCAGTAAGGAGCGAGGGGTCACAGACTGCGAGAGGGTGGAGGCGGGGCTGAGGGACTTGCCCCCCCTTAAGTGCACGGATTTCCTGCACTGGGCCTCTAGTCATAATTATAATTTTTCTTTCGACCTTTTTAGTAAGAAGTTATTCATTGCATGAATTTATCAAATACACCCATATATCAGGCACAGAGTTAGATTCTGGGACTCAAAAATAAAAATATTGCTGAGTCTTATAGTAGTTTGAGAGACCAGGTGTGGAAGTAAATAGTTATAATAGACTTTAATGCTTGGTATGGTAAAAATAAATAAATAAATAAATAAATAAATAAATAAAAAAATAAAAAAAAATAAAAAATCTGCAGGGGAAGTAGTGGGAAGGCTTAGGACCTTCCTGGAGGATATCAGACATTCCCTATAACTAGAAGGGAAGGTTAAACAAAAGTTTGCCTGGGAACCAGTTGGTTGAGGTGGTAGTTCTCAAATTTCTTTGTATATTGGAATTTGGGGCTTTCAAAAGCTATGGATGCCTGTTTCCCACATATGTGATTTCGTCGGTCTGGGACGTGACCTGACTTGGGAATGTTTTCAAGATCTCAGATAATTCTAACATGAGTCACATGTGGCAACCATGGGTTATGGTATCTCATGTAAAAGGCACAGAATAAACAAGTCCACAGAGACTCTTTTAAAGTATTAGGTGTACCAGTTAGTAATGCAGATTTTTTTCAATAGATCTTGCCAGGGAAGTATTAACCCACCCGCCATATTCACCAGAAATTGCTCCTTCAGATTACCACTTGCTCCGATCTGAGCAACACTTCAAAACATACAAAGAAGTGGAAAATTGGGTCTCTGAATGGTTTGCTTCAAAACAAGAGTTCTATTGGGATGGTATCCACAAATTACCTAAAAGATGGGGGAAATGTGTAGCTACTGATGTAGCTATTACTTTGTATAGCTACATCAGTAGCTATTACTTTGAATAAAGCATTTTTGATGTTTCTCTTAAAATTATCAAGTTTTCTTTTATTACAAAATCCAATATTACAACCTCATGTTGTAATTCAAGAGGCTTAATCCTTGGTAGGTGATATGCACACACATTTTGAAATAAGGAACACAATTATATAGAAAATGAGATATGAACTGCTATAATTCACATTCTTTAACAAGTATTTTCCGAAGACCAAATAGTATGTTGAGAATTAAGGTTATTTCAATGTATTAGAAGAAAAAACATTAGTTCTTTTTCATCTCTTATACATAATTGAAGGTTATTTGGGACTCAGAGTATGTTTTAATGCTAAATATAC